TTTTTTCTTTCTTTCTTTAAATTATTATTTTAAAAAATTTTTTAAAAAAATTAAAATTTGTCAGGCTATAATAGTAATTTAGGTGATGGTGAAACAACATCATCCGTTTTTGGTACTTTTAATTACAACAACGATGGAAATTTCAATAGTAAAAGAGATACTGGAAAAAAATGTTATGTGGATAGGACCGAGATTGGGAAGGAGAAAAAGATCAGATGATGATAATACAAATCAATTGGATAAAAATTCTGGTCCTCCTGGTGTTTTAGAATTATTACAGGAAAGTCCATGGGCTATTGTTGCTTTAAAGGGTATTTATTTCTTTTTTTATGTTTAAAAAACCGGAACGAAAAATTCTGTTTCCCTGATAATGTGTTTATTAGGTCCGTTACGTTCTTCTATAGGAGGTAAAAGAAGAACCGTTAATTTTATACCGCGATTAGGAAGAGATTCCGAAGAAGAATATGTTGATGCACCTCCTGACTTTGCTAAATCATCATCAAGATCCGGAAATGGTATTTCTTACGGTGGAGGAAGTAATAATTTTACTCCGAGATTAGGAAGATACGTCAACCTTTACGGGAAAGATCATTTATAGTTTTGAAAATAAAAAAAAAAATTTTATTTATTTATTTATTAATCATTTCATTTTAATAATAATAATAATAAAATAAGCAAAATTTAAATTAAAAAAAAAATTTTTTGTCTTTTAAATGAAACAAAAAAACGCTAAACTGTATGAAATCGATTTAGGGGGGGATATTTTATTCGAATTAAAATCCCTGGTTCCCCAAAACTGAGGCATCTGGCTTCTGGAATAATCAAATTTAAACCGAAATTCTTTTCTTCCCGATATTCAAAGAATAAATATTATTATTACAAAAACCAATAAAAAAAAATAAAAAAAAAATTTGTTTTTTTTTCCTTCTTTCTCCAAAAAAAAAAAAAAATTATTTTCCATTCCTTTCATTTTATTTTTAATTTTTTTTTCAACGTTACAAAAAAACACACACGCACACCTTTAAAGTCATTTTTTTTAAATAAAAAAAAAATGTTTAAAGTAGTAATAATAATAATGATGATGATATTTTTAAATATCTTTTTCGAATAAATATAGTTACAAAAAAAAAAAGCGAAGGAAGAGGCGGAAGGAAATGTATGAAAACCGTTTTTTTTTTTAAATAAAAAATTGTTTATAAAAGGGCGGAAAGGATAATAAACATTATTTTATTAATTGGAGAACCAGGAATACCAGGAGCCACGTGTGTTTAACTCTCATTAAATTTTTTTTTTTTTAAATATCAGCACATATACAATGTACCAAATGAAAGATTGAATTCAAAACATCCGCTTTTATATTTATTTCATACGTTTATTATTATTATTATTATTTTCATACATAGATATTTATTTATTTATTTTAACTTGTCAACACGTTGACGATGATGATGATGATGACGATTCTGAGTTAACGTGAAATAATAAATAAATAAATAAATAAAATCACATTTTTATCATACGTTACCAAATCCATTATTATTATTATTATTATTTACACGGTAAGTTTTGTTTAAAAAAGCCGTTTGATTTTTTTTTTCTAGAACTTTCGACTATTATAAAAATTAAAATCGTGAGAACTTTAAAATACATAATAAATATGTTTTAATAAAATTTATTAGAGTCAATTAAAAATAAAAAAAATAATTTTTTTTTTTTTTCAATTTGTGTCGGTTAATGGATTGGGTAGGAAGCACTTGTCTCTCTGTTTCTATCTCTCTCTTTTTCTCTCTCTCTCTATCTCCCTATCTCTCTCTCTCTCTCTTTTTCTGGTAAAGTTTAAGAGTTTCCATTATTTAATGGATTTCTTTTTTTCGTTTTTTTCTCTTTCCTTCCTTCCTTTTTTTTTCTGTTTTTTTCTTACTTTATTAACTTATATATATTTTTTAATATTATCATTATCATTATTATCATTATTATTATTATTATTTACGCTCTGCCAATTTTAGTGATTTATTATCGACTAAATTTCATATATGGTTCACATTTTATTTTTATTTACATGAACAAAGTTTTTTTTTTTTTTTTTTTTTTAAATTTTAATGTTCGAAAAGTGTGAAAGTGGGGGGAGAGAGTGAGAGAGTGGGAGAGAGAGAGAGAGAGAGAGAGAGATTAATATGATTAATTTATATATATAGACTTTTAAAAATTTTTATAACCGTTTTGCAATGGTAAATATTATTATTGAAACCAACCGTAAAAATAAAAATAAATAAATTAAATTACGTGGGATAAATTCGATTTAAAAATTATTCAATCGATATGAAATGAACTTTTATGATAACAATCGTTTTAGGGTTGATAATATATGAAGAGGGAGAGAGAGGGGGGGAGAGAGAGGGTATAAAACCACACGTCGACCACTTAACGTAATAATATAAATATCAATAAAATGATCTAAATTATATGATATGATTGGTGTGTGTGTGTGTGGAAAAACAGAAAATTATCATTATTATTAAAGGGGGGTGTAGTAAAAAGGATTTAAATTATTATTAATCGAAGGGTTCGTCATAATAGAAATATATTTTGCAATTATTATCATCATCATCATTCCCATCATCATTCCCTTTTGATTTGCGTTTATGCACAAAACCAACCGACGACATTTTTTTTTTTTTTTAAATAAATTTTATGACGTAACGTAATGATAATAAACGACGTCATCATTTTTTTCACGTGACAACCGTCGAAATAAATAAATAAATAAATAAATTTTCATCAAATTACATGAAAAATAATTCTTTGGTTAATTGACATTAAAAAAAAAAAAATCTTTCTTTTTATGGTATGAGGGTCGAATCAAAAATAATTAAGATAATTGGAATGAAAGATGCTGCAGTGGCAACAGATCTCTAATGTTTCTTCTTTTTTTTTTCTTTACCACCTGGTTTTCGTTACTACGTCTTTATTATCTCTTTAAATAATAATAATAATAATAATAATAAACAAAATTATTTTTTTATTTAATAAATTAAATATTTCCCGCAATTTTTCTTCTATCTATAATAATAATAATTTTCAATGTTTTTTAAAGGTTTTTAAAAGGGATGAAAAAGTTAAAAAAAGCTTTGGTCCTCCTCCTACCTGTTTCAATCCTTTTACACCTTTTTATATTATTTGTGTACCTTCTTTTCTTTTATTCGAGAGAGAAAATTCTAATAGAAAAATTTAAGGAATAATTTTTGTTAATAAAAAAAAACATTCCAATTATTTTATAGAGTACTTTATTATAATAATAATAATAATTATTACATGTTTTACAAAACACAAATTTTTTTTGAAGGTAAGGGGGTACAAAAGAAATGTTTTTTATTTTTACAATTAGAAAAGGACAACGACAATAATAATAATAATTGTGTATATAATTTAATCATAAGGAGATTGTAAATTATTTTGTTCTTGTTTAAGTTCAAGTGCCCAAACGTGTTGAGGCCAACCCGTTCTTCCTTTTCCTTTTTTTTGATTATTATTATTATTATTACTATTTTCTTCAACGAAACCATTCTGTCAATATAATATACATTATTATTATTATCTTATTAACTGAAAAACAAAAAGAAGCAAAACAGAAACATACCACATCTTGATGTATCCCATCTTTTTTTGTTTGACCCGAAGAACAAGAATATGAAGAAGATCTTTTTGTTTGACTGACTAGATCAGCACGAAATTCCGTTTGTATGACATTTGGATCGTCGCTTGCCAATACACCTAATCATTTATACACATATTTATTTAAATACGAAAAGAGAAATAAAAAAAAAAAAAAAAAAACAATGAACTCACCCATTAGGTACCCGATGTAACTTGTTGCCAACCTAAGAGTTTTTATCTTGGATAGTTTCGTATCGGCTGGTACATTTGGAATGCAATCCCTTAAATCAGCAAATGCATTATTTATACTTTGTGTTCTTCTTCTTTCTTTTTTATTTGCCGTATTTCTCCTTTTAACAACTCTTACAATTGAATTTGTATTGAAATTCATTTCGTAAAATGTTTTTTCCGATTCGTAACAATTTCCGTAATAATTTGGCGATTGATTTTCATGAGATATCGTCGTCGATACTCCATTATACTCCGTTATATCATTTGAATTATTATTATTATTATTATTATTATATTCATTTTGTCTATAATCGCATTGTGTGGATGATAATTTTAAATTTTCATTAACGTCTTTTTTTTCAGAACCGGATGTTATTATATTTTCATTACATGACCAATAATTTTGTGGTTTTTCCACGTGATAATGATTTGAATTATAACCGTAATCGGAATATTCTAGAAAATTTTGATATTCCATATTTTTTTTTTTAAATAAATGTTTATAACATAAAAATGTTTAACACGATACTAAAATAATAATTACAAACACATATTTATTTATTTATTTCATTTTAAATTAACAAATTTTCACAAGAAGAAAAAACAACACTTTTTTTTTTTATTCACTATTTATTAATAATAATAATTATTATTATTTTATTTAAAATAAAATAAAAAAATCACAAAACGTATTTTAAACGTCCGAACGAACTTTCACTCACAATTAAATATTGAAATGACCCGAAAAAGGACAAGACATTGAAGAAAAAAAGAAGGAAAAGAAAAAAAAAGGGTCGTGGTTCATTGGAGGAGGAGGTGGGACCTACTAAAAAATCTGACGCCAAATTCCGTTACGTCAGGAACTAAAATGATGATGATGATGATGATAATGATGAGATTTCAAAAGTCCTTCGGGATGCACTTGTGATTTCATTTTTTTTTATATATATATATATATATCAAATGATAAACATGGGATATATTTAAACATCTCAAATATCTTCTATTTTTCTTATTATTATTATTATTATTATTATTTTTTCACGTTTTTAATCAAATGCAAAAAAAAAGGTCACTCCTCAGAAAAAGGATTAAAATGAAATGAAACCTCCTTTGAGGAAGGAAAAAATTGTTAGGAGGGTTGTTGAGGGGGGGGGGATTAGAATTTTTTTTTTTCCCATTTACTGTTGGCTCCTCCCTTTTTTCCATCTTCTTCCTCTTCTTCTTCTTCTGTTTATTCTCTTTCTGTTTTTTTTTTTTTTTTTTTTTTTTTTTACATCGGTGTTTATATTTTGTATATTTAGATGAAAGAAATTCTTTGTTAAAAATAAATAAATAATATTTTATGTATCTATGTACATTATTCGTAGAATTTTTTTTTCTTTTTTTCTTTAAATCTGGAAATTGTAAAGAAAAAAAATTTTCACCTCTCATTTATATGTAAAAAAAAAAAAAAAAATTATGTAATGTGATATATTTTCATGGATGAATTCATTTCTTATACAAAAAAAAAAAAAAAAAACCAAAAATTTTTTTTTATCAAAACCCAGAGGATTTAAAATAAGTGATTGATGTTAAAGACTAGAAAAATAAGAACAACTACCACCACCACCACCACCCCTACTACTTTTCTTTTTTTTAAATTATTTATTTATAAAAAATTTTTTTGGTTTTTTAAAACATTTAAAGAGAATTTAAATGAGAACGGGGGGGGGGAAAGGAAATTAATTAAATTATTTAATGTAAAAAAAATTTATTTTTTTTTATGTATCAGCCATTGGAAAAACAAAGAAAAAAAAAGAAAAGAAAAATGGCTGAACAAATAGAAAATAATAAAAAGAAGGATGTGGCCGAGCATGCGTTTTAAATAAAAGTGGGCTGGTCTCGTAATCCATCCACGAACCATTTATTAACACCATTTCACGTAATTTAATTATTATTATTATTATAACTCTAGTTTTTTTTTTTTTTTTCGGGGGGTGAGGGGGAGGGAGGGAGAGATCGTGAAATTACTTTTAACAAAAATAAATAATAAACCAGAAAAAAAAAATCATTTTCGAAGATAGATCGTTCTCTTCTTCATCCAACACACAAAACATAAAATTTTATTTATTTATTAATAATAATAATTATTAGGGATGATAAACCGGAAAGGAAACATTAAAAAAACGGTTTGTTCTTTTTAAAAATTATTTTATTTATTTAAATAATTTAATTTAATATATATATATATATACGTACATAAAATATTTTTATCGATAAATAAAGACAAAAATTTTTTCGGGGGGGGGGGTAATTATAGTGTGTGCATTATTATTATTATTAATTAATTTCAATTCTTACTTTACCGGATACTATGTATATATATATATATATATATATATAAATTTTAAAAAAAATTAGTAGCTGTAGCAGAAGTAATAATAATAATAATAATAATAATGAAAAAAAACAACGAGTTTAAAAATTAATAATTTTTTTTTCTTTTTTTTTTTTTTTATATTTTTTCTTTTTATTTATTTATTTATTTATTAAACCTATTTATACATCATATATTAAGATAATCACTGATTACATAAAAATATCCAAAGATATGATAATTACAAAATACATAATAAAATAATAATAATAATAATATAAAAGACCGCGAAATGGTACAAAAAAAAAAATTTGATTCGAGCAGCAGGATTTCAAAATTAAACAAACAAAAAAAAAGGTAAACAAATTATCATTATTATTTTCTTTCTTCCGATAATTAATTATATAAATTAACAATAATTAACATAAAAAATTTAAATAAAAAAAAATGGAAAAACATTTAAGTACGACATTAAAAAAAAAAAAAATGAATCCGATTGACAGACATTTAATAATTAAAACATTCGTGATAATGAAATTAAAACAAACAAACAAACAAATACTGATTGTTATTATAAACTATTATTATTATTTAAAAAAAAAAAAAAAACTTGTTCGTTATTTATTTAAAACATCAATAATAATAATAATAAAAATAATAATAATATTTATTTAACAATTAATATTATCACCGTTTTCCTCATTTTGTTTCTAATCATTTTATGATTTACATTTATTATTATTATTATTATTTTAAATTTAAATAATTAAAAAATTGTTGTCATTTTAAATTTTCTTTTTTTTTTTTTTTTTTTAGCATTTTTTTAAAAATGGGGGGGCAAGACGATAAAATAAATAATAATAATTAATAATTTTTTTTTTGATAGAAAATGGCAAGAAATAATTTTTAATTATGATTGAAACAAAAAAAAAAAAAAAAAACGTAATCGATATAAAATTTGCATAGTGTTGTATATATATATATAAATCACTCAAAATATAATAATAATAATAATAATAATAATAATAATAATGATTATATTTAAAAAGCATATTCGAATAACACTAACAAAAAAAAAAAAAAGACAATTTTTTTTTTTTTTTTTTTACACGATTATAGTGCTATATATATTTATTTATTTATTTATTTATTTTTTTTTTCAGTTTAAATTAACTAAATCAAGTCTTTTAGAATTTTTTTCTACTTCTTCTACTTCTTATTCTCCTCCCTCAATTTTAACCGAACCTCAATAATGATAATAATAATAATAATAATAAAAATAATAATAAAACAGTTTATAAATAATATAATTAAAACAAGTATTATACCATAGCAAATATATATATATATATATATACTTTTTTTTTATGCTCGAATTTAAGCCATCTTTTTTTTTTTTTTTTTTTTTAAAAAGTTTCAACAAAACTGGCTGGAAATAAACCAGTTTTTCCAGTTCTCATTGATGTGCCCTTATACCAACCGTCATCACGTTTTTTATGAACGTATATTATATCACCGACTTTAAGCTCCAATTCGTATTCGCTATTGGGTGGATATGATGCAACGCATTTGAATCTGTACATTTAAATTAATGGCAAAAAAAAAAGAAAAAAATTAATTCTCAAATATCATACATTTGAATTTACTTTTCATTGTGTAGAAAAAGAAAATACCTTTCTCTATAGGGTGGAGTCAGCTGTTTGGGTTTTCTCAGTTCTCCAGCATCCAATGAATTCGATTTACGATGACTAGAACTTCCACTTACGGCAATTTTCGCTATTGTATTGCTATCGATTGGACGACTAAAAAAAATCAAAACAATAAACAATTTTTTAAAATCAAATTTTAAATAAATAATTCATATCTTTTTATAAACCATTCCAAGTTTCATTCACATTCAGTTATTACAACACATTTTAAAAAAACCGTCACCATTTTGCGTTTCAGAAATCACATATCAATAAACAAACCTTGAACCAGGAACAAAATTGACGTTACTAATCGTGGGACGTTCTCTTTGTTTGACCCTAGCGGAAACGGATGCTGATGTTATTCGATGGTGTGAACCACCACCGCCTTCTGGTTTCGTATGTATTAATTGACTGGGACAAGACCCGGACCTTTAAATATATATATATATATAATCCTCAAAGTCAAACTAACCTTTTTCCTTTTTTTTTTTTTTTTTTGCATACCCGACATGGCGGACAGTTTTTTCGTGTAAAAAATATATATTAAAAAAAAAAAAACTTTTAAGCAGAAATAAAATGTGAAAAAGCACTAAAAAAAATTTTTTTTTTTTTTTTTTCAGAAATCTGTGCAATTTAAAAAAAAAAAAAAAAAATACACAAAAGCAAAAAAATATCTACAAAACAATGAATGATGATGAGAAACGTATGCTACCGTACCTGAGATGTACAGATTGTGGATGAGGTTGAATTTGTGTTCCCGCAGGAGCATCGTCGAAAACGGGATTATCCATTGAGTAGGAAGCAGATAAGGGAGGAGATTTTGATCTTTTTATTGTTGTCAGCCTCTTTATAAGTCCACTTTTCTCTTTTTTTTCTTTTCCCTAATTCAAAAAAAAAAAAAAATTTTAAACAATTATTAAAACTTAAAAACGCGATCACATATAAAAAAAAAAAAAAAATCTAACCCAAACATTATTATCCTCTATTTCACTTTCGTCAAAAACCCGTTCGAATAATTTTTTTTTACCAAACTTTATCATTCTGAACACGATTTTTTTGTTTTTAAACAAAAAGAAAAATATATATATATATACGTAATTATTGAAAAATTGCAACATTTCTTTATCAATTTTTTTATTTATTTATAATAAGCCTATAAGAGTTTATTTAAACAATGATAAAGGAGGATAAATAACAAAAATTTGATATATCTAACAGTGAAGTAAGTAAATTATTATTATTATTATCATCCGTATTATTAAATAGAAAAAAATTAATTTTATTTTTAATACCTTTTCAGACGATTTCAATGGAGTCGAAATACCGGAACCAGGAGATGCTACTACTTTTCCATTTAAAGGAGAAGACATGGAACAACCGGGTCGAGAAATTGGAGATTCGTCACTCACGCTTTTCTGAAGAAAAAAAAAAAAAAAAAAGAAAGAAAATTGATTGAATGAGGAAAACCAATAAGATTTAATGTAAAAATTTTACATTGCCTACCGGTGAAAAACTATTATCACTAGAAGGAGTTTGCTTTGCGGCAGGAGAATTTTGTGCTGATGTTCTTTGTCTAACTGATGGGCTTGATGCTCTAGGTGGTAATTCCGGAGGAGCAAGTGGGCTAAGTCCATGGCCTAATTTTTGAGTTTTTCGTTGATGTACGGCTTTTTGTAACAAAACAGATGCTGGAGCAACGGGTAAACGAGAATCTTTTAATCGCGTGCTTCCTAGAGATCTAAAAAAAAAAAAAAATTTTTTTTTTTTTATTACAATCAAGTACTTTTCCCTAAATGACTCTCCAACATAACTTTTAATCTTCAAAATGAATTCAACCAATGAAAAAAAAAAAAAAAAAAAAAAAGAATTTTTTTTGAGAGATTATTACGGAGTGAAGATAGAATAATGTTAAGAACGCATTCAAACCGATCCCAGTTTTTAAAAAAAATTAATAAAAAAGGATGAAGATTTGAGCGACCAGATTGAAAAAAAAAAAAAGGATTTAAACTCACTTAACCAAAGTAACGTAGTTTCCGGGGAAAACGCCGGATTTTTGAGTTTTATAAGAAGTGCCTTTGAACCATCCGTCCTGACATTTTTCCGTGACCGAGTAAAAGTTACCTTTCTTTAATTCTAGCTCATCTGCTTTCTGCGGTTTATACGGATATAACGCTACGTAACTGAAAAATCAAATCATTCATAATCAACGAACGAATCCTTACTTAAAGGTTTAAATTTAATATTTTAAATTTCGTACCAAGAGGGATAAAACGACCCGGAACTCAGATCGCTATTCGAACGTTTGTGCTTTTGACTTCCGTGTCTGCTAAGTTGTCCATTTTGAAATTCTGGCGGTGATCTTATATCGTTTCCTTCACCTGAATATTTGTTACTTTAGGAGGAGTAAAAAAAAAACATTTATAATAACTCTTGTATAACCCTTTTTAAAATGAATAAAATAAAAAAACCAACGACGAAATGAAAACTCTCGCACTAGGAAATACTACCAAGACTAAAGAGAAAATTTACAACATTTATAAACACAACAGAAGGAAAATAAAACAGAAAATACTAAATCGTATCTCTTCAACTAGAAGTTTAAATAAATGAATAACCCAAAAAAATGTCAACTCAAATAGCACTGCGGGTATCGAATATAGTTTTACCTTAAACGAATAACTTCGATTATGTTAAATTCTGTACTCAGAAATCACTCACCTATTATGGCAATTTTGATGATTAGCCGAAACGGCGCTAAAACTATGACGTTTTTCTTTCGAGTTTTGCGGAGAATTAGGTATATCTGTCGGCTGCTGTAACGGCGACCATAGACAATGAGTATCTACAACAGGTTGTTCAGGTCCAGGAGTAGGTTGTTGACTTGTTATATAACTTGTTGGAAGAATTCCGTGGGGAGGATTTGATGTTTGCGAACTTTGTACAATCATTTGCACCGAATTTTGAGAAACTGGTAAAAACGGATTCGGACTATTTTGTGCCAGTTGATTCGAAGGCGGCGAATTTGGGGCCGAATTCGAATTGGAACTTGTGTTGCTAGAGCTGTTGGGAGTGTTTGACGAAGGTGTGGATGTAGAAGACAACGTCGAGCCAGATTCAGTACCAGAAACTCCCTGTAAAAAAAATAAATGTGTACATTTAAAGGGAGAGAAAACAATAAGTGTTATGCTAGAAAAAATTATTTTTTCCTTACAGTAGACATTCTATTCGAAGAGTTTGAATATGAGCTTTTACCAACATGATTTTGATTTGGAATATTTGAATTAATGGAATTTGAAATAACATCCGAATTATCAAAAGAAATTAAATTTGGACATTCATCCACATTGGTTGCAGATGGCTTTATTTGTGAAGGTCCAGGTTGACTGTTAACAAAAATTTTTGTCATTATTTTTTTGGAATTTATTAAAATAAATTTTTTAAAAACTTTAAATTTATGTTGGTATATACTTTATAGACAACTTCATTAAAGCTTGAGCAATGTAATTCATTTTAACAAAAGCTAAAGGAAAAATTCCAATGTTATCATTCAATTTTCCTTCAGCCCAATTTTCATCAACTCTTCTAAGAACAGTGATAACATCATCTTTTTGAAAAGACAAACATCCTTCATTTTCATCATTAACCATACGGAAGTCATAGAGAGCTCGACACGTTGCTACTTGCTTTGGCAGTGGAATTATAACCTAAAACCATTTTAAAAAATGTCATTTTCCAAAAAAAAAAAAAAAACAATGTTCTGTTAAATATTTCTTTACATTCAAACACAAGTATACATTTAATGAATTAATTGTTTTTTAGTACCTCGCACAATAAAAGGAGGACAAAAAAAAAAACTTTTCCTGGCTCTTGCAATTTTTATAAAAATCAACTTGGGTTCATGCAGGAAATGAACATCATTAAATAAAAAAAAAAAAAAATCACATTATTCATCACTCTCTGTGTGTGTGTGTGAGTTTCTTTTCTTCTGTTTTGATATAGATTATTTTTTAATGATTTTTTTCTAAAGTGGGATAATTACATTCTCAAGCCTGAATGGCCAATTTAAATTATTAATTTTATATATAATAGAATTAAAATAGAAAATGTTGAATAAAAAAGGTTTGTTTTTAGAATTTAAAAGATTTACCATAGATTTAAACTTCAAATTCTCTCACCTGTACATAGGACAAAGGAAAAATTCCACTTTTCCCACAACATTCCCCATGGCACCAGTTAGCATCCACCCTTCGATTTAAAAGAATAATATCTCCTTTTTGAAAACATAAATCTTCAGGCTCTTTTGAAATATAAGTATAAATAGCACGAGCATAAGGTTGACTGGGTAATGTGTTCTAATAAATATAAAAAAATATGTAAAATTAATTGTTGCATTTTTTAACTCATTGAAAATTTATCGATAAACAATATAAAATATAAAAGAAAAGCTAAAATTATATTAGGTCTATTCAATAAGTAAACAATAATGTTAATGGCCACATAAGCATAAAATTACAAAAAAAAAAAAAATTTGTTAAAGTCGTTTAGTTAGGGAAATAACTGTAACCAAGGTCGACAAATTGGTGTTTTTTTAATATAAATATATATTGACCAAACAGGCAATAAATAGTTGAACCTTGCCTTCATATCTTTCACCATTTTTTTAATGATTTAAATTACCTGTTTTTTAACTGGCTGAGTTTTACTGTTTCCTAAATTGTTGCAACTGGGATTATTAGATCCTTGTGAAGTAGATTTTAAAATATTCCCCTCCTTCAATGAAGAATCAGATTTATTTAACTCTGAATTTTTCATTCCTTCCAGAATTCTCATAAGCAATACATTTGGTGGTAATTCATCTATTGGAGCTTCTACGAGAATTCTGCATTCTGGACATTTTAATTCTTTGTGAGTGGAAACTATTTCCTGAAGACATTTTTTGCAAAATGTATGTTGGCAAGGTAAAATTTTGCTTGAAGTATCCAATCTTTCCAAGCAAACTGAACATTCTAGCAAATCGTTTAAAGTCCATTCATCCATTTTTTACATAATTAAGACTAGATTATCTGTAATTTAAAAACCAATCAGTGAGTTTTTTTTTTTTTTTTTTTTACTAAGTGAATAACTTTATTTCCCTTTGATTATTTAATTTTTTAAAAATTCTATACATTTACTTAAAAATAAAACAACAAACTTTGTTCCAATGGAGAAAAAAATTAACTAATTTTCGGCTTAAAGGAAAAGGGTAATTATCTAAATTAAAGAAACTTTTTAAAAAACTTGAATTTTATTGTCAATACAAAAAAATAATAATTGGATACTTTATTTATATTTTGTGGCAAAAAAAAAAAAAAAGGTGAAATTCATTTCATCAATATGGAAAAAATCAGATCAGACATGAAAAATATGTAACTGCAATATTTAAAATAAAATATACATTATGATAACACGCTGTGTAAGTAATTTTAGATAACTAACTAAAAATTATTTAGAAAAGGAATTTTTAACTTTTACAAAATAAAAGCAACAGTAATATCAGAATTTGAATACAAAATGAAAATTTGAAATGTTTATAAAAAAAGGCATGAAAAGCTTCAATTTATTGTTGATAATTTCCATAAGTGTTATGGTTTTAACCATTAAATATTATTAAAACTAAGAATTGGTATTATATTAAAGTTAATTTTATAAAACTAAAAAATACAGTCACCAATAACAACATGACTAAGCTTAATTCATTTTTTTTAGTAATTAATGAATTCGGAAAGAGATACTGATTAATATTAAATAGGCAAATCCATTATAACACAACTTTAGTTTGTATACATCAAAATAAGCTTTATTCAATGTGGACTGCTAATAATTATATATCTTCAAATCTGTTTTTTAAAAGTACAAAAACTTTAATTCAAGCATAAAAATTCCACAGTGAAAAAAATGTAAGGTTTAAAAGTGCTTCGAATTTTAAAAATTTTTTTTAGCAGTCAGTGCAGTGGGTGGGTCGACATGAGTTCAACACACCGATCACTTAAAGTAAAATTAAACATACACTTTTGAGATAATGTAATATTTTTTTTGATTAAAATAATTTCAACTCACCAATTTCATAAATAAAGTTTTAGATTGGTTTTAACATGAAAGACTTAAGCGTGGAAAATCTTGTTGAAACATTACTGCTTTTTTTGTTTGGGCATTCATTGTACGACCTGTCACTTGACTTTTTCTAGTTAAAGTAGATCCCTTAAGGATAAAAACTAAACGAATGTGTTTTAAATAAAAATAATTATTTTGTAAATAAATTGAAAGATTATTAATTTAAAATTTAATAATAAAACGTAAATAATTATTATAATGTCCAATTAACGAAATAAATATTTAAGTTTTGTTAATAATTTGAATTAAAGGCGGATGAATATTTTAATTACAAGTGTTCAGGATATGCACGCGCATGTGTGCGCACAGGTGAAGAAATTTGGCGCCTGGGTGTTTAATTATCTCAAATTAAAAATTGTTTTTAAAACAATTAATATTAACCTATTATCTTTGAACTTTGATTTATCGTAACCTATCATTTATGTGCAAGTAACATTTTTAAAATTAATATGCAATTCATCATTATCAATTTTTAATAGAATATACTTCTTAAAAATTGCCTTATAGTTTTTATTTAACTAATTTCGCCAAACATTTTTCATTACATAAATGCTTTTTTTTTTTTTTTTAATAAAAGGAAACAGAATTCTCAAATGTAATTATTAAAAATTTTATTTTAAAACTTATTTTATTTTTTCGGAAATATTGCTTTAGTAATGTGGAAAAAAATTTTTTATGTAGAATTTTTCTCTATGACAATTCTACAAAATATGGAATTTATCTCTATGGCTTCTTCTAACGGAAGCCATATTTATTTACCAATTACGTGTTGGGTTATATTCCCGTAAGTGTTGTAAATTAATCGTTAAAAATCTTTATTTTAATTAGCCATCACGTTTTTATTAATTATTATTCATGATATATCAATTATTTATTTTTCAAAATACAATTTTTTAAATGCATTTTTAACAATTTTCTAACTTTGTTTCTCTAACTTTTAGTGGCGATCACCATGGCCAAAACAAGAAGAGAAAAAAAGAGGAAATCAGCCATGAATGAAGTGGTTACTAGAGAATACACAATAAATATTCATAAGAGGCTTCACGGAGTCGGATTTAAAAAAAGGTCTCCTCGAGCAATTAAAGAAATTCGTAAATTTGCCATTCAGCAAATGGGTACTCCTGATGTAAGAATCGACACACGTTTAAATAAACATGTTTGGTCTAAGGGAATCAGGTAATAATTTTGCAAATAATTAAGGTGAAATAAAAAAATTCTAAGCAAATATATTGAACTTAGTGCATACATTTTTAAATTGTGTTTTATTATGGTTGTGGTTACAAACCGTCTATTTATGTATTGAATATTTATTATAAGACAATGTAAATTTTGACATTTTTGATATCGAGTTAATTTTCTCTTTAAATTGCTTTTATCAATTGTATTCAATAGTTTTGCTCTTAATTTTTCATTGATTATTTTATATTTTATTTGTGCTGAACAGTATCTTGATTATGATACCTTCAATCGTAGCCTCTCTTTTATTATTGTAAATGCCTCTTTTTCGTTTCCAGGTAATTGAAAACCTGTTAACCGAAGCAGCAATTATTGCAATTAATAATTATTTGTTTGAATTGTATTCATTAATTAAAAATATTCTTACAATTAAATGATTTTAGTGTTGTAAAAAATAATAATCGAATAGTAATTATTGGTTTAAATTTAATATCTATTTATTTATTATTTCAGCTTTTTAGAGAATACTCCTTGTTTCATTTTGTTTATTGTTTTTTTGTTTTTCAGACATGTACCGTTTAGAATTAGAGTAAGATTATCCAGGCGTAGAAATGATGATGAAGATTCACCTCATAAGCTGTATACATTGGTAACTTTTGTTCCTGTCGCATCATTTAAGAAACTTTTGACAGAAAATGTCGATGCTAGCCAAGAATAAAAGTTTTATATTTTAATATAACATTTTTAAAAAATTTGAATTTTTTTTTATTTTATTACTGTGACACCTTTTATCGTACAATTAAAAGGCAACATGTTATTTATTTTTTGGTAAATTTTTCACAAGAAAAAGAATAATTCAAGAAAAATTAGTTTAAATTAATTTTAAATTTAAAAGATTTTATTCGAACTTTAATAGTTGAAATAATCATTCAAATTTCATTATTTTTAATAAACTTATTTACAATGTATGTATTAGATAAATCTACTGAGGTGATGTCTAAATTGAAAACTTTACATTTAACTGTATTGAAATTTGTGGAAAATAATGCTATTTTACCAAGATGTGTAAGTAATTGCATTATTTCTTTCATTTTAATGCAATTAATGTTTTTAAGGGTTTATTCGGATTTTTAATTTAATGTACTTAAAATTTTTATTTTGTATATTCTAATTAATCGATTTAAACATTTTATTAATGTTACAATTAATTCAACAAACTGCAAATTTTATTTATTCAACTTATTTTGAATTATTTATCTTTTATTTAGTTTGCAATGAGTTGATTGATTGTTGGTATTTTTTCTTTAAATAATCATTTTTATATTTAATGTATATAATTAAGGAAACCTATCAAATTTTAAAATGTGTAAAAAAAATATTGACCAATGGGGGAACAAAGGGTAAATTTATGTGTATAAAATCTTACTATGACTCTACTGTCTTCTTCTGTATAAAATTATCAACCCTTAAAATGGTAATTTCACGTTGAAACAAAAAAAAAACAATTTTGTTTTTTAAAAGAAGATTATAGGTGTTTGCCATCTGTTACCATCCATTTATTTTACCAAATTGCAACCCTTCCTTTTTCGTGGGAAGAAGGAAGTAAACTTATTATAACGGTTACTTATTTAAAACACAGAAAAAAAATATTTGCTAAATTAATTTTTTTTCTTTTCCTCCCCCTTTTTTCGTTTTTTATTTTTTGTTTTTTTTTGTATGTTAAAAATAAAGTAAAACTCAACGTTTTTAAAAATTACTTTTGTGTATTTGCTGATAATTAAAAAAAAAAGAATCACAAAGAAACAGGAGGAAGTTTTTTTAATATATGCTATTGGACAGATTATGATTTGTGGTACCTGCACCTGCTTGCTGATATATGGCCCATCACAACTCTGTGGAAGAATAACATTAATGATCCAACCATTTAAAAAATATTGTCTTTGATTGAATTACTACTACTACTACTGCTTTTGTATTTTTTTTTTCTTTTTCAACAACAGACAACAATATTGTAATGGCGTCCGTTCAAAGTCCTCAAGTATTTTGTATTATTGTTACCCTAAAGAAAATAAGTGCGTACATACGCGGGCGTGTGTGTGTGTGTGTGCGTATGTACCCTACACGCTCATACATATAAAACTTATTTCCTTTATGCCTTTTGAAAGAAAAAAAAAAAAGTTAATTCACCGTGAAGAATTCTCACATTAAAATTCGGAAATGGTTTGACACAGGAAAAACCTGCTTACAACCGGATGTCTTGTCATTAAACATCTTCCGAATAATTCGCATTCCCAAACCCTTAAATTTAAGGTAGGGTTGATTTTATATAAACGTAAAAACAATATAATTTTGTTTTCCTTTTTTTTCCATTCAGGTATATATTATTTAATTTTAAATCAGACCGCTAAAATCTTTTCTTTTTTTTTTTTCTTTCCCATGAGTTAAAAAAAAAAAATTATTAGCCATTTATTTGATGATGACGGTCGAAGAAAACAATTTATATCTTTTGTCTGAATGTGCAAGGGTTTGTTTTTTTTTGTCTTATTTAGGTTTTATCTTTTTATATAATCGATTCTTTTTTCTTTTTTTAGTATGTTTTATTAGATTAAAAAAAAAATTTTTTTACGAAGATAAACTATTATTGATAAATGCACGCAACGCCATTATCATATGTTAAATAATAAATTTTCCAAAGGTAAATTATCAATTTTAAACAATTCTCAATTATTATTATTATTATTATTATTATTAATATAATTCTAAACCACAAAAAAGGCACTTTTTGATGAAAAACAAATAATGAATATTGAATTTGAGAATTTCAAAATGGAGAAATATTTTTTGAAATGATCTTTTATTTGAGTACATCCCTATTTTAATTGAGGTAAAAAATGCACCTGTGAGTTTAAAACCTAGAATAAAAAAAAAAATAAACGTGAGTGTCTGTATTTGTCTGTGTGTGTGAAAAAGGGAGTCGAAGGCCAAAAAAAACCGTTGCCATTATTATTATTATTATTATAATAAAAGAAGAAAACAAAAAAAAAAATTGTACCTAATAGATGGATGAATTGTAAAAAAAATGAGTGGCAAAAAAGGGTTGAAAAAAATAATAATAATAAGAAATCAGGTTTAAAAGATTTGAACCTGAGCACAAGGGTTGAAAAAAAAAAAAAAAAAAAGGATCCGGGCGGTCTGGAATTTCGTTTGCTGTTTTTACGACTTCATAAAAAAAAAGAAGAAAAAAGTCAGATTCGGTTTTTGAGAATATAAGAAAATCATATTTTACATATGATAATAATTTAAAATCACGGTTTTCTTAAGTTAAATATAAAAAAACCTTTTGAATATTTAGATGGTTAAGATTTTAGGTATTCAACTAATGTATAAAATGTTGAGAATAAAAAAAAAAAATTTTTTTTTTTTTTTTTTTCAGGTTCGCTAGGCTTCTGCCTTAGGGCATAAAAGCAGACGGAGGGTGTGAGTCACCTTGAATTGTCCGCAACCCTAAAATCGTCTGCTATTCAATGGGATTTTTTTTCTTTTCTTTTCTTTTTATTTTTCAATATGAAAACATTTGTTTTCTATATAAATTTCTTTAATACGCAATATTTCTTTTTTTTTTTTATCATTCGAAATTTTATTTAAATTTTCCTTTAAAATTGAAGAAATGTCTGATTGCAAAAATGAAATTGTTGAATTAAACAAAAAAAAACCCCCATCATTTTTGTTTTTGTTTTTGAAAACCTTAAACAATTTCAAACTGGAGGGTCTTCCTATCAACCGTCATTAACTCATAATTAAACCCTTCTTTCTTCCTTTTTTTACAGAAATATATATATTTATCCGTTTTTAGGAGCAAAAATTTTTTTGTAATGGCAACACCAATAATTATAAATAAAAAGATTGTGTGAAAAAATATTTATGATAAATTATTTAGTGATCAAAGGGGTAAAAAAAAAATTTTTTGTTTTTTTTATTTCATCACAGTATATAATATAATATAAAACAATAAACTAAATGAGTCCTTAACTTATTTTAGTAATAACTAAAAGATTTAGTATAAAAAAAGTAAGAGACAATCAATAAATGGTAAAAAAAATATTTAGAATTAGTTTTTAGTTTCTTTTTAATATAAAATGGATTCTAATTTATTATTATTAACAGTTTCAGGATTAAGAAAATAAAAAACAAAAGAAAAGAGCAAAAAAAAAACTAAACGAAAGAGTTTTTATTTTTTGGGTTTTGTCAACACAAAAAATTCGAATATTTCAGACATTTTGAATAAACGTTAATGTTAGGGTAAAAAAGAATTAAACCGCGTTCGCATAATAAAAAAAAATTATTCAAAACGGATGTCGGGGTGAAGGTTGTTGATTTCCTAACTAGTGCCAACATAAATTCTAAAAAGCTTTTTTTTCCCTACGTTGGCATCCATGCCCGGTTTTTTCGTTAAATTTTTTAAAGCTTTTCTTATTGATAATTACTTTTCGTATTTCAAACAAACGTTCGTAAATGGTAATAAATATTAATTTAATAATAATTTAAAAGTAATAAAAAACAGGAACAAGGGTTAATTTATTTATTTATTTTGGCACGGCAGATTTCATTTAGGTCCATGTTTTACTCATATATATATTAGGAACCCTACCCTAATGCGTGGGACGCAGTGCGTGACCGCCCGGATAGACTCCAATCCTGACCAAAGTCATACATTATGCTTGCATTTAACCTTCCTCACTCATTTGATTTTTATTGAATAATATGCCATTGTATTCTTGTGATTAGTCATCATCATCATCATCATCTCCTACAAAAAAAAAAAAAAGTGCAACCCTCTTCTTCCCTTCTTCCAATCTTACCCTCTGCGATCTTCCTTTTTTTCCCATTCATTAACAATAATAATATATTTAATTAAATTTTCATTTACAAATAAATATTAAAAAAAGAAAACCAGGTGAAAAATTGTCCAGAAAAGTCAACAACGATATGAAAAAATAATTTTTGTTGTTGTCGGTTATGACCGGAAACAAATAAGACAACCTTGTATGAAAATATTATTATCAAAGAGTAAAAAAAAAAAGGATTTTATTTAATGAGAAAAAAAAGGAGCAGTTGGAGTGATAATCTTAGTAAAAAGGTCAACGGGACAGGAAGATGAGTAAAATGATGACCAATATTTACGCCATCCTCTAGGGTGTGTGTGTTTTCTAATTGTGAAAGGGTTAATTGCGTTTCAGGTTCCCACACTATTGCGCAGATGGCTACAAATTCTCTTTTATACAGGATCCATCGAATCAAATAAGATAAACATATAAATAAAAAAACCAATTCTGCTCTTGTTGTCCTTTTTAACCTTGAAAGGTTCTTATACATTATTTTATATATATATTTATCGGTTTTTTTTTTTTAAACACACCCGGTTTCAATTAAAGTGAAACCTGTTTTTTCGCTTTTGTAAACGAGTTAACTCGAGTTCACTCAGGCTAAAATAAGATACCTTAAAAACATAAAAACAAAGACGGATAAAAGTGTGAAAGAGAAAGAAAGAGGGTTGAACGTATCGAAACAAACCTAAAGAATTCCATGATGATGATAATAATAATAAGAAATCTGAGAGACGAATTTTTAGTGAAATTTTTTTATTTATTCAAATCTCGTCATTTACATTTTCTTAAACAAAAAATTTTTGAGGTTTTTCCCCTTCTACGATTTATTTAG